GCGTTTCATTATGAATAACTTCAGATCCTACCACTGGAGAACAAAATGAAGCATCCAAGTGAAATGCGAGGCTGGATAGGAGTACTGACGACGGGCATCGTCCTGGTACTGTTTTATTCATTCTTTGAAAAGATTCATTTTTCAGAAGTCCGGAATCAATAATCGATTCGAAGAAAATCAGTCAAATCTGGGGAGAAACATTGCTCAGTTGCTGAGGGGTATAAAGTTAACAAACTGGGGAGGAGAGAGGAACATCAGGATAGATACAGCACCCTGGCTTTTCGCAATGGTGCTGTGCTATGATGAGAATCAGAAGAAATAAGGGGCATATAAGAACTGATAAGATCTTTAGAAGCATGAAAGGATTATAGATCGCTCCAGCCGGCAGCTACGTGTTCACTTGCAATCGAAACTGAGAGTAGTGTTCGCTTTCAACCCTTCTCACTTCTGCACAAAGGATAAAGCATTTCATCTTGATCAACTGCTTCTTGGGATACAGCACGTAACCTATAGTCCTTATCCCTGAGACGGGGTAGGCGTGGCATTCGAACATGGCACAGAACTGGTTACTCGTGGGATATTTCAATTTGAGACAAGCCGCCATCTTGTTCTTGGTTGGACAGAAACCAAGAATAAGATGGCGATAGAGAAGATAGAGAATAAGATTTGTAAAGAGGGATAAGCAGTGCAAAACTCGCTTGTTGTAAGTACACTTGAAATCCCTGAGATGTAGTAGGCGTGGCTGCGTACTTCAACTAAACGTGGCGGTGGCTGTGTTTCTGGAGAGATATTTTCATTTTGACACAATTGTGGTCGTGTCTCTGTTCAACACTGAACAAGATGACAGTTGTCTCAAACTGAAATATCCCACGAGTAACCCATTCTATGGCAGCTCTACGCCATGTTCAAATGCCACGCCTATTCCGTCTCGGGGATAAGGAGTGTATGTAAGTAGCGAGTTTTGCGAGAAGCGAGAATATGCGGCAAAGAAAAGTAGCATAGGAGCCGGCTTACCAGCGAGTTGCTCCTTGAGGACAGTGGAGGACAAAGAAACGGACCAGCTGAACTATCTGGGCCGTGCGCGCATTCGCTACAACCAAAGTCGCTAGAATGACTACTTGGCTTGAAGACGAACTGTAAACTCACCTCCGTGGATTACAGTCCTTGCCGTGGGTGGGCAAATGGGTCCGCAGCTGCACCAGTGTGCCATTTCCTTTGGTCAAAAGTGTACGGGAACAAAGCTAGAGGGTTGTGATACCCGAGTGCCGTCTCCACGCGCTGCCACACGGCCAGCCGCACGCCTGGCCATAGCCAAACACGCTACTTGCCAGCGCCTTCTCACTTCTGGTTGTTCCCTATCGCTGGGTGCGTTGTTCGCAACGGAACCATGGTAATGACGCAGTTCCTGCAGTTTAAAGATAGCGCGGGCGGAGCATTGAGTCACTATCCTTTAGTCTCATTCCCCTGTAATAGCGGAGAAGGTGGAACGCTACTGCAGTAGTACTGTGTGGACCCATTCTTCTCGCACATGGCAAAGACTAGCCGCGGCAGTGAGCGTACAATTTGTCTTCAAGTAGCAATTCTGCTGGGGTTACCTTTGCTGGCCTTTTTCCTCCCACGCATGTGTACACAAGTTGTCTGTTGCGCAGGGGCCTGGGCTGGACTTGATTCAGAGGACGTGGTAATGGCGTTTGAGTAGCCACAGCATTGTTTACTTTCGCAGTCAACCCGTTAGTCACCTAAATAGATAGAATAACTCTGAGAGGGGGATTTTATCAATAAATGCAGAAAATCATGTAAAGAAGTAGCCCTTGAAAAAGTGCATGATGTTTTTCAATGGGCAAGAACAATAAAAAATTTGCAGGTGACAACGGTCTATGCTGGTTGTGGTTTCTTCGGCTATATCACCTATGGAGAGCATGTGAAGGGTAGCATCACCCTAAATATGGATCAGAGCCCGTGAGTTGTTTACTGTCGTAGCAAAAAACACTCTAATGAGACATTTCCGTTTCTTTCATTCCTCAATTGCAACTGCATGCAAAAGCGGTGGGAGTTTTCCTTTACTCCGGGGTTATTTTGGTGTTATTACACATGGTCAATGGGATATAAGGCTCGTTTTGCTATATATAGCTGTTTTGCACAACTACTTTACAAAGAGAAAATAACTCCGCTGACGTCAACCTATTCTACATCACCTTTACTGCAGTGCGGTTGCTGTGGTCCTACTCAATGCCAGGTGGTGACAAAGGGGGCTATAAATGGGGCGTATGGTATAATCTTGGTGCACTGATTTCTTTCTCGGATTCACAATACAGTGAATCGAATATCATACGTAAGCACCAATAGTAGCTGAGTTATACAAGATACCACGCAAAAACAATTCGTTAGTGCTTGACCGATCAGTAAGACAAAAGCTACTGGTAAGGTGGAACGGGTTCTTCATAGGAGCCACGTGAATCGCTGCAAATTCTCCAGGGCGGAAACGAAAAGGAATGGGGTCAGAATTTCTGTAAGGACTCATCTCTTTTTGTTAAAGGCAGTTGGCACGGTAAATCCCTAAGAAGAGTAGGGCTGATACCGCCCCGGAAGGACGGAATTCCGCGAGCATGAGCAGGTGCTGTGTAGCTCCTTTTGTCAAGGAAGCTACCCTTATCTGGCCTTATAAGGGCCCTACCAAGTTACAACATACCGACCCGAACGCCCACAACGCCCGCCCGCCCACAAACGGACGACCGTACCTGATGCTCGTATTGCTTCATTTGCTAAGTAAAATATGAAGCGAAGGCATTGGTATGAAGCGGCTGCGGTGCTGCATGGATATATGAGTACATGCAGCCGTAGCGGTTATTGGCAAGATGTCTACGGAAACTCGTCCGAAATTGCTTTCCGAGTCATTAAGAACGAAGGCTTTTCTTCGCAGGTTTTTGACCGTTTCACTTCGTTTTTTCGCCATTTTCCCACTATATGGCGCCCTGCTAGCATTTTAGGCCAAGTACCAAAATATCGTGCCAACTGCCTTTAAGGCCCAAAACCTTGTCAGTAGAAGCTTGAGGAGTTTCGTTCAACAAGAAAAACGCGAAGAAATGTGAAAAAGCGTAAAGCTAACTGCGCTCCTGGAGGGATATTTTTCAGAACAGTTGCAGACAGGCCTTTGTCCGGTACAAGATAAGACAACACCTGAATTGAATGGAAACATTTCACAAATAAGCATCTTACGCCGTGTTTAAGTGAAACACGCCACGCCCACTCCACGCCGTGATGTGAAAAGTACACGTTGCCCTCGTAACATTTTCGATAGCAAAGTTGAGTTTGTGCGCGCCTCTTACTCTACGGAATGGCCTAAATTTACGCTAGCATGGAACATAGGGTGTTCATGGAAAACCTA